TCTCTCTCACACACACACTCGTCCCACCGTCGTTCGTCTCTCTCTCTCTCTCTCTCTCTCTCTCTCTCTCTCTTTCTCGCTCTCTCTCTCCCTCCACAGTGAGCTTGATAGAATGCAATTATTTTTCCATTTTGTGTGCAAATTATTGTGTTAATGGAAGATGTATTAGTTCTAGTGCAAAAAATTTCTCCCATGAAAATCAATATCTGTTTCCAGTTATAAAATTTAAAGCTCTAGAAATTTTTACCATTAGAATCTCTATCTTGTTCTAATGCTTCTAGGGACTTTTATGATTTTGTACTTCTTTGAAACAAAGGATATGGGGTTCATATGGACTGTTTAGTGGGTTCGAGGGTGTGGGTTTATACTGCAATGTTATTGGTTTATGATATTTCCAGATGCTAAATGGATGTTGTTTTAGTGAAGAAAAAGGGATAAGTGGTTTGCTTTATTTTCCATTGCCATTTCTCAATTACCCTCCTTGGATTAGATGGTCCTTAGCGAGTAAGAATTTTGGGTATTGTTAGTTGGTAGCATTGGATTGGTCTGCCCATGAAGCTCTTTAACTCTAGTATGATGGATTGGCAATGGTTGCAGAAATTTTCATTAATCAGCAGAACATGGAATTTTTTATGGAACTAGGCTAGTTTATGATTATTTTCTTAGGGCTTTCATTAATTTTTGGATGATTTATAGAACCAGGGAAAAGATGGTATTGTGAATAGTTTGTAGCATCTACATGTAGAAACTTGGGAGGCACTTATGTAGGGCCAGTTAATGCTTCTGTGGGGGTCTCTATTTTCTCTAGTGTATTCGCTCATGTTTGAGGGCCAATCAAAGAAGTTTGCTGGTTCAATTCCTTGTGAATACGCCAAGACTATCATCTCCATATTCATCCTTATTCTTTTCTTGTCACTTCTTCCTCCTCAACTTTTTACACTTATGGTTCTTCTTTACATTTTGAGTTCCTCTCTCTCTCTCTCAATCAGGTTATCTACGATGAAGTAGTTAAAGATATCAAAATCAGTATCAAAATTCATATCCCAATTTACCAAGCAAGAAAGTATCACACTATATGATGGGTGTGATTGTTATTAGATCTGGGAATGTTGTGTAAGCTTTACTCATATTTACTGGCCTACTTGCAATTGAACTCAAACCATCCTTTAGTTTATTAAAATAGTGTGAGAGGCCTACTTGTAAATGAAAGCAGATTCTAGTGCACAATGTCTATTATTTAAGAACATAATTGTTGTTAAAATTACTTGCGTTATCTATGGGATGTTAACTGGTGTGAATAGTTATTGGACTCATGCTTTTGATGATTGTGTGAATAGTTGTTGGGCTCTTGCTTTTGATGATTGTGTGATAGTCTTTCACAAAATTGTGTTCGTAGGTGGGAAGATGGCACTTTCGTCTACAAGACTGCACAATATTAGATTCAACAACATCTAACTTCAAGTCACTGTTCAAGTTATTAGAGAATCAACAATATATGACTGCCCATGGGAATTCTGAGAAGTGTGTAATCATAGTCATATTAGCTCTGAGTTTAGTGATTCATGTTGTATATTCCTTTCTCCTTATAAAAAAGGAGTAAGGTGTACTTCTCAATTTTACATGTTATATATTTCTTTATCCTCGTAAAAAAGGAGTAACCGTGTAATCATAGTAAGGTGTAGTCCTCAATCATAATATACTTCTATTAGGACCGAAGGCAATTTTGTTATATATTGTTCTTTCCATTTCTCTTTCGGAATTAGCTGCTTGATAATGCTGGGTTGACCCAAGTCGCTGGTTGGTTAAGAAATTTTTCAGAAGCATTGGTTAAAATGCTAGTGGATTCCCAGGAGGCAAGGAATGAGAAAAGCAAATTTATTTGAAAAGACATTAAACCATGTCAAAGCCAGGCCTTATATAATGTTACAGTTTATTGGAAACTTTATATGTGGCACTACATATCTCATTCAAATCAAATACTTAGTCTCATTCGAATTAAATAAGAATTTGCAGTAAGTATCTCTGCATGGCCTCATTCGAATTAAATAAGAATTTGCAGTAAGTATCTCTGCATGGCCTCACCCCTTGCAAATTTAGCCTCAAATCTCATACGAATTAAAATCCAATTGATGGGCCTATATAGTTTTACAGTTTATTGGAAACTCTATGTGACACTAAAAATCTCATTTGAATTAAATAATTATTGGCATGATTTGTGTATGGCCTTACCCCTTGCTAATTTAGCCTCAAATCTCATCCGAATTAAAATTCAATTGTTGGGCCGAGAGAGTTTAAAAGGAATTAAAAATTCTACAACAAAAGACAAGCTCATAAGAAGTGGACATTATTGCACAATATTTTGTAATTGAACTTTATCTTGAAACAGCTGACTGCATTGTTCATTCTATAAACTGAAATTTAAAAAACACATCTATATTTATTGATTTGAATGCAGCAATTCTGGCACTTCCTTTGATGGTCAAGTGTTGATAATCTGGGACGGAATCTTCCTCTCTTCAAAACAATGTCTTCACTGACTGAACGCCCCTCTGTCTTCGTGAGCCACTTATCTGCATTAAAATTCAGCAGCATATTAATACAGTTTTTAACCCTTGTAAGTTATTTAAAAAAAATTTTTTTTTAAGTGAGAACAATTATAGAAAATCAAAGGAGCTTCATTTAAGAGAGAATGCTAGAAATAACTAAAAATACCAATAACTCAGCTCTAAAGTTTATACAAATTCAAAACACAATGCCTCCAGAAAAATAGCGTGCATACCTTTAAATCACTGAAATAAACAAACACCTATGAAATGTAAAAGCATTTTTCAGAATACTTAAGAAATGCAAATTCAAACCATAATAGTCCCTAGAAGCATTATTTGATTCCGCCAAGACACCAAGGTTGCATTTGTGCATATATGGATAACCCTAAATAACCAATATAATCACGAAAAAACTAAACCCATTTGAACAAGACATCGATTCTAATGGTAGAGCTTTAAATTTCATAATTATGGCAGAAAGTTTTGGCACCAGAACTACATCTTCCTTTAAGACACTAATTTGCACACAAAATGGCAAAATAATTGCACGTTATCAAGCTTACTGTGGAGAGAGAGAGAGAGAGAGAGACCCGTGTCAGGGCAAGAGAGAGAGACCTTTGGGCTGCCCCAAATTGAGAGAAAGAACGAGACCCCTTGGGGCTGCCCCAAATTGAGAGAGAAATACCCTTTGGGCCAGTGCCCTAACCGAGAGATAGAGCGAGAGAGAGAGAACCAAAGCAGGGAGAGAACCAGAGAGATAGACCCCAAATTGAGATAGAGAGAGGGCCAATGCCCTAACACAGAGAGAGAGAGAGGGCCAGTGCTCTAACCGAGAGAGAGAGAGAGAGAACCAGACCGAGAGACGGAACCAGAGCCGAAAGAGGGAGATCCAGAGCGGTGAGAGAGAGAGGGCCAATGCCCTAATCGAGAGAGAGAGAGAGAGCACCAGAGCAGAGAGATAGAACCACAGAGAGAGGGCTAGTGCCTTAACCAAGAGCGAAAAGAGAGAGAGAGAGAGAGACAGAGAGAGCCGAGAGAGAAATAGAGCAGAGAGAGACCATACCTAATGTTGAAGCACAAGCCTTCCTACTGCTTCTCTGGATATGATGCAGCTGACAGAGATTGAGAGAGATGGATCTGGTGCAGCAGCGGTGCGAGAGCGAGAGCGAGGCACTGCTGCTCCATGGGAAGGGTAGAGAGGGTATTTCGTGGGAAGGGAGAAAGAGAGTATTTCGAGGAGACAGGCATAGGTTTCCGGTTTTGCATGTATTAAAATTCCCCAAATTTGAGCTTCAGAACGCGTTGGCAACCGTCCATTCAAACTACAATCCATCCCCATCGTTGGCGTACCAGCCTCCTGTGGTTTGAATCAGGTTGAGGCTGTAAGCAATCAAAGTAAGGCGCACCTTCAAATAGTATCGAAAGATCTCATTTTAGTACCAAAAATATTTATGACGGCTAGAAAAAAAATTTTATCTTTAATTATAAAATTTAAAGTTTAAAACATAGTGTAGATCAAGTAAATCTATGAAAATCTTGAAAATTGATAGTCAAGATAATGTATTACACGATACACTATCCCAAGACTTGAAATCCATTTTCTTTTTACATCTATGTATCTCAAGGTCGAGATGATCATATTTTAGGGCTTCTAGACATCGAAAAATAAAATTCTAGTGAATTTTTAGGTGCACCTTAATTTAGTTATTCAGGGTCTCAACCTTATATAAATTTTTTCCTTCAATTTATTAATTTATCTATAGAAATGGTTTATATAAGGTTACAACCTTAAAATGTAGAATTACAAATGCACCGCAAAAATCTATCGGAAAATGTTGTTTAATGTCGAAAAACCCTCAAAATTCATGATCTCGACAACGAGATGTATGAATAGAAAAAAAAAAGTTTAGAGTCCTAGAAATAGTGCATCTTGCAACACATTATCTAGACCGCCTATTTTCAAGAATTTAATATGTTTATAGATATACTTGATTTTAACCATTTTTGGAGTAAAATTTTATAATTAGATATGAAAATAGATTTTGAGATAATCCTATGAATGTTTTACACCAAAATTACATGTTATGGTAAAATTTGGAGGTGCGTCTTAATTGGATTGTTTAAAGTTGGAACATTATAGAAACCACACCCTTCATATATTTAATATATAATTCTTTTAACTTTTAGAAGACCTAATCGAAGACCTAATTTGGATTTGATGTATAGTTTTCAGATCTGGATCCTGATCTAGATCCGAACATTCTGGAACCGAAAAGAACTAGATCGGGATTTGGATCCTATGCATATTTTTGGATCCGGATCTAGATCTTGATGGATCTAGACCCGATTTGAAAAATTCTTAGCCCTAAAGTAATACAAGAATGGAAAAAGTTTATATAAGGTTGAGGCTGTAAACAATCAAATTAAGGCACACATCAAAAATTCACTAGAAGAAATTGTTTGGATGTTGAAAAAACCTTGAGATACATGGACGTAAAAAATAAATTGGACATTAAATCTTGGAAATAGTGCATCTTGTAACTTATTATCTTGACATTCAATATTCAAGAAGGTCAAGTATTCATAGATCTACATTATTTTTGAAGCTTTAAATTTTATAATTAGAGATGAAAACAAACTTTTAGGTGATCATAAAGATTTTTGGTACTGAAATGATATCTTTCAATACCATTTGAACATGTGCCTTTGATAGTTTAGGGCCTCAGCCTTATAGAAACCACAATTACAAGTATTGTTTTTCTTTTAAGTAAACAAACACTACATATTCACGAGGCAAAACAAAGATTCTGGGAGCACTTATTTTATTGTGCTGTGATATATATGAACAATTCGATTTCTTGTCATGCTTTCTAACCTGGGTTTGCATTTGGGGTTTCAAAATTCGGTAGTAAAGGATGTGAATCACCACTGTTTCATGGTGATAACCCTTAAAGAGAGGGGTTGGAGATCACTTAGGTTACTAAAGCTGAGAGATCTTGAGAAAACCTTTCTCTTGTCTTGGAAAAGAGGGTGGAGGTCTTGAAAATGGAGGTTGGTTGAACATGTGTCTGTGATTCTAGTAAAGACACATGAGATTTCTTTTATGTTCTGCTGAAATACCTTTCCAATGTTCTTGTTATCGTATCTAAAAGATAATTTCCTTGTTATCATGTCTAAAAGATAACCCTCATTTCTCCATGTTAACAAATAGGAAAACAATAATAATTTGAAGCACAAACCACCAATATTGGTCTTCTTTGCTTTTCAAATTTCAGCAAATTTTCAAATGAATGTCCACTCAAATGCTGCGAGAGGTATGAAGTATGAACAACGTGCATGCTTCGAATCTTAATAGTAAACCAGCCAACCACTTAGGGTGTCTTTTATGACCTTAAAATTCTTGAATCAGATTTCATACCCGTTGTGCTTTAATAAAGAATAAATTTGATTTTGGATTTTCAAGAATTAGATCTCATTCTGCAAAAATGGGAAGTCCAATTGCCACCCCTGGGGCAGGAATCGTTTTTAGAGTACCTTTTACACTATATAAAAAAAAAAAAGAGAAAAAGATGTCCATGGTGTTGAAATCAACCTTCTTCTTCTTTCTTTCTTTTTCTTTTTCTTTTTTCTTTTTTTTTTGTTTTTTTTTTTTTGGGTTAGGGGTTGAGTCAGTGGGGAAAAGGCCCTAACCGAATTGAGCCTAGAATGTAACCGTACAAATCATCAAGTACTAACCAATTAAGCCGAGGCTCTTTTACTAAAAGTCATCTAACTATTATTATTTCAAATCAAATAAACCATTTTAGTGTGCGGTTTGTATAGAGCCAAAGCTCTTTTCCTAAAAGTCATCTTAACTATTATTATTTCAAATCAAATCAAACATTTTAGTGTGCGGTTTGTATAGAGCCGAGGCTCTAAACAATCTAACTAGAGCCCACCTTCAACTAGTGTCTAGACATATGGTTTTAATACTCGAAATATTTGTGATAGGCTTAAAATATGTTTTCATCTTTAATTATAAAATCTAAAGCTTAAAAAATAGTATAGATCGAGCAAAATCTTAAATATTGACGGTCCAAAAATGTGTTACAACATGCATTATTGTTAAAACTTGTAATCCATTTTTTCTCATTTTCATGCATATTGATGTCGAGATGATCAATTTTAGGATATTTGGGAATCAAAACAACCTCTTATAGTGAACTTTCATAGTAGGCTCTAATTTGATGGTTTAGAGCCTCGACTCTATATACACTTCTTTCACCATTTTATCCACATAATAGTTAGTTTTCAAAAGATCATTTCACTCTAGTACCTCTTCCTCCCCTTCTTATCATGCCACGCTCTTTACAAGCCCCTCTCTCTCTCTCATTCCACAGCCCTGTTTTTCTTCAATCTAGAACCTCTATTTCTCTTACATCCGAACTGACCTCCTTGCCGTTTCTATCGGTAAAGCTCTCATCAATGGGGGCACCACCGAGTTGCCGAAGTCTCCATTGTCCTTTCTCACTCCCTTGTATTGTAAATCCTCAAGAAAAACCTCAAGCCAGATAGGAAATTGGAGTTTTTCATATGGGTTTCTTCACAAATAGGTTACAAGTTACAAACCCTCTGAGTATGCTTATTCTCTCTTTTTCAAATAGTTTCCAGGAATAAGGACATTGATTCTCTTAAGGATTCTGCCACATACCATGAAGAGAGAAAGTAATTCCTGAATCTCGCTCTTTCAAGCTTATGCTCAACTCCTTTGTTTTGTTGCGTAATTTCACTCAAGCTCTTGAATTGCGACTATATAATGAGACCATTTACTTTTGGTATAAAGTTCGAGAAGCAAAAGAGCTCTGTTGAACTTTTTTGCCTTTAATATAAAGCGGTCACAATTAATTTTGACTATTGGATGTGAAATTGGGTGATTGCATTTATTTTATTGACCATTGTCAAAGTTCAAAAAACTTTTTTCGAACTTTGTAACACACCCTAGTTATCAAATTTTACATCGGATGATTGTTAAGTAATTGAGACCTCCCTGCACCAAAGAAAACATGTTTGACTCCTTGGAAAGAGGGACAAAACGGTCTATTGCCCCTCCTATTATGCTTATGTGAACGAGTGAGAGCCAGTTTCAAAAAGTGGTACTTAAGAAGCCAAAGTCTCAAGTATAAAATCATGTCGGGTTTTTTCTTATAAAGCCCTTCTCTTTATTGAGTGCTACCAAGAGGTAATTTTAAAGCATAAAGAGAACCAACATCCCGTGGGTTCTTTTTATTAGGTACTAGACAACTACCCTTGATTAAATGAAAATTTGAGTGGTCTCATAGTCAGAATAGGAGCAAAACTAGAATAAAAAACTATGGAAAAGGACGAACATCAATATAAATTTTCTGAATTTTTCAATCAAATCATAATTCCAACAAAATAAACCGGTATGTACATTCTTCGTAGGAAGATTTGTGTCCAACTTTTCTAATCATTAAACATCATTTGGCACCCAATGCCTTGGGTGCATCAATGACATAAGTATTGTTAATTATTTCTCATCAGATACCTTAAAACTTTGCTAGTTTTTTTCACTTTTTATAAAGAGGTACTTAAATAAAATGAATATTAAAAAAATAAATCCTCTAATGTTAATTGCAAAAAACTTCGATCTCCCAAAAGAACATAATATCCATTTACTCCCTTGGGCAAAACTCAATGTCGAAATATTTTAAAGACCACAAATTTTGGAATGTAATCTTTTCAATCCATATACTATGCTCAATGAAAAAATTTCCTAATTGAATTCTTTAAGGGCATGGAAAAAAATAATGCCTCAAGATTGAATAGAAACCATCCAATTGTCAAAAGGTGAGATCAAAGTGTTAAAAAACTAAAAGTTCAATTTTCTTTCTTTTGTATATAATTATCTAGTGATTTTTAGGTGGTTCTCAGAATTTCAGATCAACAAAATCTTCCCTAGTTAGTCCTCTATCCAATGGAGTAAATGTAGAATATATATACACACTACCATCTTTCGACTCCAGTGATTTTGCATGGATTTAAACCCTTCAAATGATATTTTTTCCCTAGAATATATACATCGCTATAAGTTATCGGAGATTTCAAAACTAAAGGGCCAGTTTGGAAACCAACTTGCTTATTGGTTATTGCAAACATATCATTTGGTTATCGGCCTAGTGGTAAAGAAAAGAAATATAAAACCAACAAAAAGAAAAAAAAAAAAATCCTTTTTCAATAAGACTAAAAAAAGTCTTGCCACTTTACACAATCAATACAACTACCAACTGCTTAAAGTTGGCTACACAAATCCTAATTCTACCATTCTGCTCAATCAAAGGGCCACACACATTCAATACAACATGTACCTTGAAATAGCATCCAAAGTGCGGTCCCAAACACAAGCAAGGACAAATTCATAATCCGCACCAACATTGTTCAACAGACTTGAGGGAAGCTTCCAAGTGTCTCTAAGAGCCTATCTGCAATATCCTGCCATATGTGGTTTAACCAAAAATAACTAAGAACCCAGTCAATACATAGCTCAAATCTTGTTCGGTAATTTGTACCTTTATAGAAATATCCATCATAATAAGCATCTGAGTAAGTGGCCTCGGATTAGAAAAACACAATTTAGAGCCAACTATGATCTTTGGACAACAGATTTGCAGTGTTGGGCAACCATGACCTTATGGTAAGTTCGCAATTTTGGTTACGAGTTGAAAATTTGCATAACTTATCCAACCAAAATATACACAACATATAGGTCTTTATTAAACTTCACATTGAAAGATCTCAGAATCCATTACTCAAATCCATTGTTAAAGGACCCAATTCAGACTCCAATTTCCTCAATGAAATCTTCAATTTCTCACAGGCCACGTGCAAACCCTCATGTGCACCCCCAAGTCTCTGCAACTCAGCCTCAATGCCCGCCATGCCCCCCACTATTTTTATCGAGGCTGCCATACTGGACGAAGCCTCTTGGGGAGGGTAGACACTCGCCCCAAGCTCATCGACCTGAACTCCAACGCCTTGACATATTTCAAGTATTCTCTCCAAATGATCCACTTGACCCTCGCACCCATTGCAAGATTGCCTTGAGAGCCCAGAGATAAAGCGAAGGAGCTCCTTGAAAACAAGTAGGGTATCTGATAGCACAACAGTAACCAACTTTGCGACCATCATCTCCTCATTTGATAGGTCATCCCCTAGATCATCACCAATCACGCTCGAGTCTTCGATGTCTAAATGGGCCCCACTTACCCCACTATTCCCATCATTGGGGGACCCATCCTGTGCACAGCTATCACCATTGTGGTCCTCACCTTCTCCTTTTTCATGGGACCCATCAAGGCTGCAACCAGCTGCAGGCTTCAGTTCTCCCATCTCGCGAAGTACATCTTTGATGGAGGCAGCAACTCGTGTTATCCCCCTCCCAACTGCAGTGGTGTTGTTGGTGGGGGTCCTCTTTAGGGCAGCACATGCCTCCCATACCACACCAGTGAGCTTAGGCATCAGGGTTTTCAGGTCCTCATTTTGTGACGCTGCATAGAGAAACAATATAGAATAGAGAGTTCCATGTCAATTTTTTTCTGTACTGATGCATGTCTCGGATGAATTGTCAATTTTTTTCTGTACTGATGCATGAATTGTCATAAGAAGCTAGATGGATAGTCCTGGATGATTTAATTTGTGCACTGTTGGGAAATTAGATAGCACTATGTTGTTCAAGCGGTTTTTGGGTTGCAGAGGTTGCAATGGAAACAAATATACATATTAAATTTTGGGTGCAATGGAAACGATAAATAGGAAGTTACATATAAATGGGCCCTCAATTACATGTGAGGTTGATTCGAAGATCATCTTGTGTAATAGCAAATAAGATTTTGAGCTTTGGCTCAGCAGCCTAGTTGTGATATTGAAGAGCTCTGTCACAAACCATAGGCAGCAGGTTTAAGTCCCACACTTCAACTAATAAAGAACTGCAAACAAGAATCCTAGAAGCTGACCACATGAAACACCCAACAAAGCTGGCAATCTCATCCATTTGGGAAATTAAGGGTCATCATCACACATATCCTGGCTATTTTCATAACATAAAGTACCATTGAGTGCCATTTTGATCATAAAAATATATAAGCATATGGATTCCAACATATACACAAAGGAAATAACTAGATAAGCAACAAAGGTATGCATGAACGTGATTATATATATATATGGGTGCGGTTTCTATAAGGTTGCAACCTCAAACAATCGAATTAAGGCGCAGCTCCAAATTTTATCATAACATGTAATGTTGGTAAAAAAATTCTTAGGATTATCTCAAAATCTATTTTTATATCTAATTATAAAACTTTAAACTCCAAAAATAGTTAAAATCAAGTAGATCTATAAACATGAAAATCTTGAATATCGACGGTCTAGATAATGTATTGCAAGATGTACTATTTTTGGAACTCAAATTTTTTTTTTTTCATATTAATACATCTCAATGTCGAGATGATCAATTAGGAGGTTTTTTCAAACATTAAAACAACCTTTTCTGATGGATTTTTGACGTGCAACTGTTATTCTACATTTAAGGTTGCAACCTTATATAAACTTTTTCCTATATAGATAGATAGATAGATAGATAGATAGATCGAGAGATCGAGAGATCGAGAAATCGAGAGAGAGAGTACTATAACATGAAACAGCTTGTCTGAGTAAGGATAAGCTGGAATCTGCAACTTGCTTTGCTGATGTCCGAATACAAGCACAAAGAGTAGGTCCAGCACCAACCATGCTCCCATGGCAAAGTAAAAGGAAACCTTGGAGCATGTCACAGTAAAGTCTCATATTATCCAACAACTCCCCAACTTTGGGCTCCTCTCCACTCCAAAGCATCCCAGCTGCCAAAAAACAAAAATTGAAAATTACAACTTTAGCATTCCTAACATGCATATCTCGACAATAAAAGGGTGCATGAATCCCTGAAATAAGAGAATGCAGAATCATGTGCCTTAAACAAGAAGCACTTCAAGAACAATATTATTCACTTAGCCCCATTGTATATAAGTCTCCATGTGCAACATCAAGAATAAATCATGGAGACGTGTACGTCAGAGAAGAGTGTGAACGAATCGACAATATGATCCCAAATGATCTCAAACGGGAAATATACTTTATGTGTCTCCTAAATTTCTGTCTTAATGCAGTTCTTCAAAAGTATTTTGACAATTTAATCTCATTTTTTAGTTAAGCAACCCTTAAATAAGGCCGTTCTTTATGCATTCTTCTCTAAAGCATCAATTTGTCTAAATTACTCTGCCACTGCATCCATTGAGTGGGTGTGCCACACCCTGGCACTAGGGCTCAACTGCATCGCTGCCCTCAAATTGATCTGCTTCTTTGGTAAATTCAAATATCGCTGAACTCCAAAAACAACATCAAGGCCTGCAACACTGTATTAGAGGTGGCTAGCCTGCACAAGATAATTTCAATACCAATAAGCTGTATAGTTTTTTTTTAATTAATTTGTACATGGGTAGTACCAATAATGCGGTGAACTCCTCACTACTGATAAAACAATGACACGTGTCTATGGAATTTGTCTTTTTGAACACTACAAAAAAAACGAAAAAAAAAAATGGTTGACATTTCCAAAGAATTCTTGATTCAATCTAAACTAAACGTTTTAATTTAGAAGATGGATTACAATGAAAAATAGTTCCACTTCACAAAAAAATTCGCTATTGGCCATGGTTTCCTAAAATATCCAGTTTCCTAATCTCACTATAAGATAGAGGTTGGAAATTACTTGCACCAAAGAAGCCTTAATTAAGTCAAATTTTATTCACAATGAAGTCTATATTTTAAAGGGATTTTCAAGATAATGCTTTCAGACAAGTTGCACTTCAAGATATTATGCTAAAACATATAGGTATATATAAGGAATCGGGCTTGGGTCAAGGCGGCAGCAGCTGGGTTTTATAGCGCTACGTCTCAAGTTCCATATGTATGTAACCTTGTCACAAAAAAAAAAAAAACATATGGGTATATAAAGGCATATTTCAGCGTCGCAGTAAGCATTGAATACCTATGAGCTAGATAATTGGCTGAAGTAAGGGCGAATGGAGTATTTCTACTGATTTGTTAAAATTAGAATCCAAGAGCTGTCAATGAAATAGAGAAGGATGAATGGTCTATAGGAAGAGATGAGATTTCTTGGAAAGTGAGAACGATGCCTATTTCCAACATTTTCACTCTTTATGCTCTCCCTCCATCTAGTTGTTTTCCTTCATTTTTAGCAACTCAAATCACTGTCTCGTTATGCGGCCCATCTTTGTGCATCTAGGGAAGTCACAGCCTCATAAAGTAGAGAACTTGGGCTCTTATGTTGACTGCCATCTAACAAAATTTATCTTCTGTAGGCAAATTCTTGTTGATAAATCCAAAAGATAAAAACAAAAAGAAGTAAATACAGATGTTACTGTCCGGAATCTGCATTGCATACAGAATGGCCCATGCACAAACTTTGCCACAACACCAGTTATTTAACAAGGGGATTGGTCCCATAAATCAGCAGCAGGAACTCAATGCAGGAACCAATGGTTCTGGCTCCCACTCCTGAAGCTAACCTTGCCATAGGCATTCCTCTTGCATAATGGTCTGTTTGGCATTCCTGTTCCTACTCATATAGACATTCTCTAGGTATTCTCAGAAACCAAGGATGAAGGAGGAGTGTGAAACTAAAAGTTCCGAAAAAGTTTGCATTAAGAACATGGGTAACCAGCATATTATGTGTTTTTGTGTGTGTGCCTGTGCACCAGGAACCATTGAAACAAACTCATAATAACCCTGGGTTACATATGCCCAAGGATGATACTGAGATGGAAAATACCCTCAGTAATTAATGGCTGCAACTTGCAATCAGAAAATAAACACACACATACACAGATATGGGACACACCAGGGGATCTCCCCATATAAAGTATGTGTATATTATACTATAGACTTGAAAAGGCTATTATCACCAATATTAAACAAATAAAAATGCATTGATGCTCTGAACCATTTGTTGCACCTAATCATTAGCTCAATGACTCAGAGTTGAGTTGGGACTCGATTGAGTTAATTCAAAGCAAGAACAAATCAAGCTACAAAACAATGTGACCTCGTTTCAAGTTTCAAAAGAGACTTGGCAGGGTCATATAAAGACTTGAACAAGTATGTGCCTTGCGCATTCTTTACTTTCTTATTCCAAACTGTAAAGCGACATAAAATAGACCAATCGTATAGCCAATGGGTAAACGTTTTATACATTGGGGCATATATATAAGTTCTATGCCTGGGTTCGTGCAAACATCCAAATCTAAACAGATGTCTACCAGAATTGCTTTGACATGTAACAAAAAAGAAGCTGAAAACGGGTTACTGCCTCTCATCCAGTAGCCTATTTGTGGGAATTTGAAACCCACTCCCCTTATCTCAGATCCAAAAACCCCTAAATCCCTCTGACATGAAACCCACTCATCCTTCTCTCTTTAAAATTACACCGACGTCACCGAAAAACCTCTATTTATTTTAGGGATAAAACTGCTTGAAACGTGAGCACCAATAAAGGAAGAGCACCAAAGTCTTGCAAACGGTTCTCAGTTATCTTTCTCCAATACTAACTACAAAAGTGACGTCCTCCATGTTGAGAGAGAGAGAGAGAGAGAGAGAGAGAGAGAGAGACG